GATTTTATTTTTTTTATTATTTAATTACCCGTTTATATATTGGATATATTATTTTTTTAATTTTAATTTATACTATAAAAAGTTTTCATATAATCAAAATTTTTATACTTAGAATTTCTAATAATGACTTTATCGATAGACTAATTTCATTTCAAAGATGACAAACTTGAATGCACGTTTTGCAACTTATTTAAAATATATATATATATATATATATATATATATATATATATATATATATATATTAAAAAACCAATATATATTTCAAATATATATTTTGAATATAAATTACCATTTAATATTTTTAAAGTAATATTTAATATTTTTAAAGTAATATTTAATATTTTTTTAAGTAATACCTCACCCAAATATTGTAAATACTAATAACATTACTATTTTACATTAAAATATTAATATAATTTTAAATTTTAATAGTAGTTTATAATTTTTATCAACATTCAATCATCGAATGATTTAGTAAAATTTGAATATAATATATAGATAAAAATTTATTTTATTTTTTCAAAAATATTTTTTATTTATTTGCATTATTATATTTATTTATTATATATTGGACGATTCAAAAATTTTATATAATTATATATTAATTTAAAATAAAATTATATTATTTTAAATAAAATATAAAAAAATAAAAATATCATACAATATTTAATAAATTTTGAAAATATAATTTTACCAAATAATAATTACAGAACATTCAGACATTCCACATCCACTCAAACCAACGTAACCTAACCACACGCTAAAAATAAAAATATATTTTCAAACCCCAAAAATGGACAGTTGAGTACGGTTGGGAAGAGTGCCTCGTTTGACCTTGCAACAGTAAAGCATGTCGTGTATCCGCTCCCTCGAGTCCGGATTCAGCTTAAAGCTCGACTGAGACCAACCATGCTTCGATCTCATTAATGGAGTTGCTCATTTCATAACTCGCCTCAATTGCTCAGTCATCGATGTGTCGCTTGAAGCTTCTCCAAGATAACCAATAAACTACCATGACAACGAAGTAAAGCAGATCAAAGAAATGGAACATTTAAGTGTGTTTCTTCACACAATTCGAATCCCTTAAAACTCAAAGCAGCAACAATATCCATATATAGATCATCCACGAACAGAAGCAGCGAGCCTTCCACGTTATCTCCTGGAGAAGGAGGTGAAAGCAGAGCCTCCATGGATACTTCGCCATGAGAAAAGGTATTTGATTCGCAATAACCATAACAAAGTATTCGCGTTGAGTCGTTACCTCCAAAAGCCAGAAAGACCATTAAGGAGAAAACAGAGCTAAATGGAACAAGAACACCTTACCGGTATGAGTGATAAGAGAGCGCCACAACAGGCGGAAGGGAGAGGAAGGAGCTGCCAGAAACCATAGGGATGGGAGGAATCGGCAAGAACCAGCGCCTGCATCTTCCCGCCAACAGACAGCATCCGAAGCAGGAAGAGCAGGCATGGACTTGCAGATGCCCCCATCCCCACGGCTTTCGGGGAGCCAGTGCTTCCTCTCCCACCTCCCCTCACCGAATCACTTCTCATGGAGGAGGAGGGCTCGGCGAGGGAAAGGGAGGGGTGCCTGGAAACCATTGGCATGGGAGGTATTGGAAAGCACCGGACTCCTACCAACATGGAGGTGGAGGGAGGGTTTTCCAAACCAGCCCCATACCAAGAGCTTCGAGAGACCCGATCTCCCCTTCCCTACCCGACCTGCGGCTACCGTTCCGCTCTCTGCAATTGATTCGCTGCAGGGGTGTGGATATAAGAGGGGAGGACGCTTCCTCGGGACGACGCGTGGTTTCGTGAAACCGCCGATGTGGCCGCTGGTTTTGTTGGATGCCAGCGCTTTCCGACATGGACGTGGGTGCTGGTGCGAAGGAAAGCACGTGGGTTCCCGATGCTTCGTTACGAAGCAAAGCGGATGCGACGACGCCTGCCATACGTTTGTGGGAATGGCTTTCATATTTGTGGCGTCACACTTGGGCCACAAGTAATAAATCTATGAATGGTTCCCTACTGATTCGCAGCGATCCCTCCCTGTCACCCTATGGTCATGGCCTTCATTTCACAACGGAAGTGGGTGGGGTCACGCAGAGTGGGTTTAGGAAAGAGAGCTCAGTTTGTTTGTTTGTTTTTTTTTTTTTTTTTGAAAGGATTGGAAAGCTAAAAAGAAGCTTGACTCGATAGCTACGGGGTTTATAGTGGGGTAAATTAAAAAAAAAAAAAGCAAATTCTAAAAAGAAATATTGTTTTGACTTTTTATTCGTTAGCTATAAAATATTTTTTTAATAAAATTATTTTTTGCCTCCACTTCTTATTATTTTTTTATCTTTTTATTTTTTTATTCTTATCTTTTTTATCATCATGGTCATAATCACTCTCACGTCTCCTTAACTCGTGATTACTAACTCGACGATAAGTCTATGATACTGAGACCCAACAAAGAAATCAGTGTATAAAATGAGAAAGATACTAAGTGAGCAAGGGTGGGTTAGTAAGACAGGTAACAAACGAGGAGCGAAGGTGATCACCAATAGATGTTAGGGGTAATTTCATTATTTACAAAATAAGGAGCTTTTATAAGATTAAATGTAAAATGAATGATATTCGAGAAGATATAAAAATAAGTTTTTAAAATTTTTTTTAAATCTATAGTTTTGATAAATTCTTACATAGCATCGAATTTTCAAAAATTCTCCAAGTGAGTTTTCTTTCATAAATGATGATTTTATCATTGATCACATCTATTACTGACGACCTTTGCACGTGGACCATGCTTGCACCTCTGGCCATGCTAGCTTCGTGCCCTCATTAGTAAGTAAGCTAGCCACGCCAACTCTAACCATCTCTATCATTGGACAACTTTGCATGTTGCCTACACTAGTCCGATTATACTTGCTAGAAAAGAGAGGGCCACTAGCAATGAAGAAGGCTGATGATCACAAATAATAGAGAAGAATAAGAAAAGTGTGGTGAGCGAGCTCATGCATAATCGTGAATGACAAGAACATGAAGCTAGATGCTTATGTTTGCTCACGGCTCCTATCTTATTGTCGTCCTTGGTAAAGGAGAGGAGAGGTAAGATGATAGAAAGAGATAATAATAGATCTGAAGATAAAAATAAGATGATCTTTTCACGCAAGAAGGGATGCTTAGTAAAAAATTTTAAAGATTGAGACGCAGTATGAACAGTTTTCAAAACCAGAAGGTTTTTCCGAAAACTCACATTTTAAAGAATTGCCACTCTTTTATCTGAAAAAATTTGGTATATGAAGGGTGGTGTTGGTAAGAGTCCTCTTTAATGCCAATTAAATTACGTACCTATAGCTTTTGACATTGGGTCGAATATTCTGGATAATAAAAAGTCCTGGTATGGCTTCTATTAATCTATTAATCGGTAAGAGCACTAGAGTCAGGGAGCTTCACAGACGTAGAAGCAAGACTAACGACACTCCAAATGAGTTACACGAGAAAATTGAAGATGACACATGCCAGAATGTGTTTGACATGTTGAGAGAAAGCTTAGAGAGAGAGAGAGAGAGAGAGATCTATTGCCACTTTGCTGTTTATTGAAATCTCTCTCCAAATTTTACTTCTTCATCTCACGAAAGTAATAGCTCAGAGCAGAGAAAATTGAATCAAGAAACTTCAAAAACAAAAGGCTAAGACAACGACACCACTATGTTTGATCTTTCTAAATATTTGCTCAACAGAGAAAAATGTATTGTCCTATTCCGTGCTTGCACTAAATACATCTACATATATTTATTTACCAGAGGGAGCATACACATAGCAAAAGCAATTTACAAGCATTTAGATCTGCTACATTTCCTTCCATTAGGAATAATTTTGGTTAGGAGGGGAGATATATAACTTCTACACCTCTGTTTTTTTACCCCTTTTTTTCTTAGTTTTATTGTAGTTAATTAGTATAGGGAGTAATCTATACGTTTTATGGGCAGCGCCGGAGGCGTTGGTGGTCGGAGGGGGAGAGGGAGTGGCGGAATTGGCAGCGGTGGCCGTAGGTGCAGGCGTCGCCGAAGAGGATCATGCGGCAGAGCTCGGTCTTGTAGCGGGGGTGACGGAGGACAGGGCGGAGCTCCGCGATGCCGTGGGCGAACCGGCAGTGCTCGCCGTATGGGCACACTCCGCTCTCCTCCCACTTATTGCACAGCTCCGTCTTGAACATCCCCTGGCGGAACACCTCCAGCTCCAGTGCTCCACCACCACTCTCTCCTTCTTTCTCATCGTCCGCGCCTCCTACTCTTTCCCCCTTGCTGTCGTTGCTCCCCCCACCCAAATGCGCCTGCCGCAGCTTGTAGTAAGAAAACAAAATAGAAGGGAAATATGCACCCTGTCATACAAAACGAAATAACCAAAATATCTTCCAGTGTGGTAGAGAGCAACACTTCTACTACACCATGACACTTTACCCGCTCATGCACCAAACCTGTCCGTATAGTTATATCATTGTATAATACTGTATAAAAAAACAACGTCAACTTTCTCTGCGAGAAAAATTAAGAGGAATAGAGAATAGAATACTCACCGAGCCGATCATGACGGGGCTTGGGACGCGAAACCGGTCGTTGCGGTTCGTATCCGAACCCGGTCCACCGGCCGAGTTCAGCTTTAGGTATCCGCTGGATCTGACCGAGGTGATCTTCGGTGGTGAGACATGCTTCTCCGCCACCGGCCCAGTTGCCGACCTGTGGCCACCGCAGATTCTCTCCTGAAAGGTGAGCACGCTCGTGGGGCTGTCTCCGGGCTTCGGCGTTTCGGCGATGCTGAGGGGGGGGAGCTCATCCATGAGCACCACACCGGCGGATGACGGGAAACGGCCAGTGTGCTTACCGGCGAGGAGTTCGAGCCGCCTGGCGAGCTCGCCGTTGGCGGTTCGGAGGCTGGCGTTCTCGCGGCGAAGGGACTCCACCTCCTCGGCGGTGTCGCAGAGGTGGGATAGGCAGATGCCGTAGCGCTCGGTGATCTCCCGGTACCGGAGAGCGAGGCGGGCTAGGCAGAGGCGGTCCTCGGTGGCTGTGGATGAGGCCTCCGCCTCTTCGAAGGAGACCGAGGAGGGGGAGATCGCGAAGGTGCCGGAAGCGGGGAGAGGGGCAGTGTCGATCGTTGAGAAAATCGTGTACGGGCTGAGGAAATCGTCACCGTTACAGATGTACGGGGAAGGCGCGGATGCCATCGAAACGCCGAGGCAGTCGCCACCGCCGGATGAAACCAGTGCCCGCTGCATCAATCTCTGTCTGATGCCGTCTCTTCAAAGGAGACAAACCAAGAAAGAAGCACCAACGGATCAGATCCGACCACTGCCACAGAACACATTTGCCACAAAACTTCAAATATTCATCAAAAGTTGTCCAGAGACTGGTATTTCTTCCCGGATCAAACAGAAACCAGGAAAACATAGAGAAAACAGCTACTCGCCAATCCAAAACCAATAGGACCAACATCCAAACGAAAGATCACGAACGCGTGATCATCGATATCGGATCATCATCGAGATTTCAACATCTCGCTCGATTCGTTGATCCAACACAAAGATGAAAAAAGAAACAGATCACATCATCAAAGGAAGTCTCACCTTCGCCAAACGAGAAGTCAGGGGACGGGGGGCGATCAAAGAACTGAGGGAGGAGGGAGTGGTGTATATATATGTGGGGAGGGCAGGAGTGTGGAGCGCAGTGGTCGGTGAGAGGGAGACCCCGAAAGTGTCAGCTTGACGGACTCTTACCGCCGTTTCAAGACGCCACAAAGTGAAACCACCGTGAGCTGACGTGGAGTAACGGCATTCCTGTCCGTGCACTGTGTGGTGACAAAAACGGACGTTAGGCCACCTTCCATGACGATTTGGACGGAGAAATAACGGACGTCACAATCACGTTTGCTTTGCGTGGAAGAGTCCCAGCTTTGAGCTACCAAACTGCGTTCCATTACGAACGAAGAAGCGTAGCCATTATGTTTGCTTCCTCGTCAAATTTTTAACTAACTGGGGCCCACCGTCCTCGTCAAGCACGCCACCTTCGGATTATAACAGCACACGCGCGTCAGATATATATATGTATGTATATATATATATATGTATGTATATATGTATATATATATATGTATATATATATATGTATATATATATATATATGGATAATTTTTTGAAAAAATCTTTCTTTTTGAATTTTTCTCGGCAAAGGACTGATTGAATGAGATGTCAATTGTGAAGCGTTAAAATCTCTCTCTCTCTCTCTCTCTCTCTCTCTCTCTCTCTCTGAAAAAGTTCCCTTTCTTGTTCTATGTCACAGTGCGGACAATGAGTTTGGTGGAATGTGGCGAGATTGTGTTATCTTGACCAAACTCTGTTGACCTGTCTCTGTCCTGATGATGACTTAGCAATTACAGTAGCAGAACTGCAGAAGAACAATTTTAGAACATAAAGCAGCAAAAAAGAATAAAGGAAAGAGGAAATGCATGTCATATCCAGCAAATATGAAGTAAGCTTCATTAGCTTACGTTGTTATTATCAGACCGCATGCCAAAACAATTACATACACAAACCAACAACTTCGATCTCTATTGAGAAACCAAGCTTATGATCGCTAGAGAAGGACTGCCAACGACGCTGAGAGCAAAGGCAGCAATGTTGCAGGGATGCAAGTAGAGGCGGCGGCGGGGTTCTGTAGTAGAAGGGGAACCATGGCAGGACGGGGTTGGGCGGCGGCGGAGCTAGCAGAGTGTTGTCTGGTGGAGGGAAGTAGGGAATGTAACCCAGCGGTGGAGGATGCGACTCCCCGTAATATGACGTGTCCGGTGGCGGCAGGCATGGGTACGGACAGTCGGAGAGACTCGACGGAGGACGGTCGAGGAGGAGGAGGAGAAGCGTGGAGATGACGACGTAGGAATGCTTTGAGAGCATGAGTGCATGCTAGGAAGGATCGAAGGAAGAAGAAGAAGGAGAGTCGTGTTCTACGATGGTTGAGGGTGATGGCTTTGCATGGAGGATGTGATTCAGGGTTAATGAGGTTGATTTGCGCGGAGAGTAATCGGTGGAGCTTCGAGTGCACGTAAAGGGAGGTTTCGCAGGTTTCTATATGGACTGAGATATAAATGGTGGATAGCATTGGAATATTAAATTTAAATTTATAATTTAACATAAATTCTAATTTGAGAGGTTTAATTATGATAAGATTCTTTGCAATTTGTAACATAAATTCATTCTTAAGCCTAATTAGTTTCTAAATATGCAGCTAACCAATAGATGTTATTGAGGTTAGACATGCAAAATTCTAAAAACCCAATAGTCACATTACATAAAATATGATAATTTAAACCTTAACCTTATTGGTGCTAAAGTAATATGGTCATAAGTCAAGCCTCAAGGACACAGGAAAATGACATTACTGATCCATCTACCAAAAGCAAAGCAATAAGCAATTCCAATAGGCATATGGGCTATGGAATAAGATTAATTGGCTCAATGTCCACTTGCAATATATAATATCATCCTCCTCCTCACAGGAAAAATATTGTCTAATACAAATGATTATGACATGTATAATTGCTACTGTGAGAAAGCTTCTTCTTTCCAACAAATGTTATGGTATAATATTAGAGATTTTTCATGTATCCCCCAGCAATCATACTCCATTTCTTTTGTGGTAGGATCTGATCATTCAATGCATGATTTATAGTGTAAATCTATTATTTTTTATACTGTCATTTCATTAAAGAACTTTAGTAGATAAGAAAGATATATTCTTTTGTGTAGATATGAATTCATTTATATTCTTAACAAATTTAGAGATTTACGTATAAAGCGGGAAAAAAAAAAGGATCTACCAAAGCTAATCATTTAGAAATCAGAACTTATTCATCATTTTCTTGCAACAAAGAGAAGATTTGAGAACATGGAAAGAAGACGAAGCAGAAATCTAAATGATTGTTACAGCACAAGTCATAGCCACCAAATCTTCCACAGGGCGAGCAGCCCGGAGACCAGGAAGACCGGCATCGGCCCAGCGTAGCTCCGGCGAGCACTCGAGGGGTAGTAATTGGGGTCAAACGGGTAGAGATTACCTGGCGTGCCGACTATGTAAAGATACGGCGCCGGTGGCGGCGGAGGACAATACGGTACGGGCCACTTCGGAGGCGGAGGCGGAGGCGGCGGTTTCTGCGTGCAGCCGCAGGGATTGCAGTCGCATTTGATCTGAGCGTCGGGCACCGACGGGGTTACTGCTGCAGAGCAGCCGACCATTATCGAGGCAGCCGCGATCATGATAAGCGTCGACTTCACCAGCAGTGGCGAAGGCTTTCGGCAGCATCGTCGCATCTTTTCCGACGTCCTCCTCCTCTCTCTCTTTCTCTCTCTCTCTCTCTCTCTCTCATACACAGACACACACACTCTCCGAGTAGGAGACAGCTCTGTGGACTTGGCTTTGCTTCTCCTTTCCGTTCACGTCGAGGGCTTAATTGGGTTGGTCCAAAGTGGATTGCGGAGATGGTAAAGCTGTGGAGTGTATAGGAAGAGGAGGTTGGTGTAAGAAAACAATGTAATCTTCTTCTTCTTGTTTCTCTTTCTATTGTTGCATGAACAACTATGGGTGTAATTGGTAGAAGAAAAAAGTGTTGAGGTGTGTTGTTGCATGGTTATCCTTCTATTATTGTTTTGTCTGAAAGCGATCGGCATGTGGATGCCCTAATATGATGGGACCCAGATGAACTGCACATCCATTATTTTGGGGTTTGATTATCCGTATTTTCGGATAATTAAAACTAAATACGATCAAATGAACATTTGGATATGATTCAATGAATGTTCTTCCCAATGTCATACGATTAGAGCTATCACTATAAACAGGTCTCTTCAGGTATGTTTTGATCATGCGATTAAATACTTACTCTTACATTGAATGCCTAGATACCAAATTCCTACAGGAGATTCATATGCAACTTTATCAAGTCGAGAGAGATTATATCTCAAGTCGGGATTCGACCTCGACATCCAAGTCAAGAGAGAGATAGGAAGCTCCTCTAACTTAGGTTCTCTCTCTAAAGCATTTTTGCAGTGTATGTAAGAAAGTAAAAATGGGAGTCCAGTAGTAGAATGATATGATAAGGTAGGTTCTGAGTACTTGCCACTGGGCTTGTAGCTGCTGACTCGTTTTGAAAGGCAAGTTCATGGTATTCAGAGACAGCAACGAAGCTGAATGTAGACCCGCCACCAACCTGTTCAAGATAAGAATAATTAAGACGAATGGGTAGGCCATGGAAAAGGGGAAGGAACACAAGCATTCATTTAAGAGTTACAGGATGCCCCCCCAGCCAAATTCTAACTCTAGATAATTTATCTTTCCCAACACTAATCACAACAGTTCTAAGACAAATATGGATTAACCTATTGTGGATTGGTTTGTCATTATTATGATTATGTTATAGGATCAAAACAAGCTAAGCCTGAAATGAGATGCCAATCAGTGGGCCTCAACTCGGTCATCAATGACTAATTTTGAATTTAAAGGGCATTATCTTGACGAACGCATCACTTGTTTAGCTGATTGCAGTCTTATATATCTGAACAAGAAAAATTATATGATACACATAGATATCATGGCTGTCTATATGTTTAAATCAAAATGGTTAGCAAATACCAAACTTTGTTTGGCATCGATTCTGCAGACTCCTAAACATAAACTTTGTTTTGAATGATACCTCACAATTCCAAACAACTCAGTGCCGGTGTCTTCGACTCCATGCCATCCAGAAGCCACTTCCAAGTTGACAAACATCCTCCATCGGCAAAGGGGCAAGGCTGAGATGGTGAGCCAGAATCCTGTACCATTTCCAGCAGCATCTGCTGTAGCTCCTCCAAGTCCAGGCTATATTGCTTCTCCTGACATGATTAAGGTGAGTTCGTTCCAGAAACATGCCAACAGGTTGCTTGAAAGAATAAAGCTGTAGACAACAAGAAATTTTTTGGCCATGAATAGTTGATGATTTATATGTATACATCGGTATCTGAAATTGTTAATAGGACACTAATCTGTTGATATTGCTACAACAAATATCACATCATCACCAATTATATCATTGTACTTATTGGAAGCTTGTGCCTGAGCTGGAGTATCCAATAATTGAATTCACTGATGAGGTCAGATTTAGTCATCTTGCCAAAAAAAAAGCTAAAATAGAAGGATTACTAATATGAACATGAGAAGCAAGGTTGAGCTGAGGTGGTATTGAGTTTTCTGACCACATCAGAAATCAACTACTGATGTGTCTAAATCAAATTGGCCATGATTATATCATGCAAGACACTAAGTCAGTCCAAAAGAGTAGGATCCTATGTTATGGATCAATCATAATATCTGTAATCCTACTATATCTTCTTAGTTCATCTTTCTTTTATCTCACATACATGAATATTTCCAATAAAAATAAGATAAAAGTTATAATATACTCAACGAGATCCTCCTCTGATGCTTAGATCAAGATATTCTTTCAGATGGTGAAATAATACTGAAAAAAAAATCAAATTAGAAAAGTATTCAGAGTATCAAATCAATAGTTTCTGAGGAGAAAATCCCTTTATACAATAGTCCAACTGTCGAATAATTCGAATAGAGTAATTATCCTATTTAGATCTTGTTGCTAACCAGATGTTAATTTAGTTTGTCTAATGATTTTATCTTGATGACATGATAGTTTGATATTAACTGCTTTGATAACTATTTTGGTTACATGTGATGCTGTTACAACACCTGAGTCATTAGCTCATAGGTGCAGGCTTGAAGTCAATTTATACACCCACATCATCAACAAAACTAAATTAATTGCCATTTAGTCTAAGTATGAGCTGAAATTTATGCCATCTACAGTGAAGGTCATGTATAAGCTCGAGGCCTATAAAATTTCATAGCAAAACATGAATTTTAGATATTTCCTTCTTTTGCTATGTTCGTGTTCCTCAGGTGGATCATAAAGAATAGAGTCGTACAATCTCCTCCTCGTCCCATCCGACAACACTGTTGCCATCCAAATTGAAGAACTTTTCAGTTCATTCATTCTTTTCATGAAAATGTGCCGCTTAGTTAAGGTAGGAGGAAATGGATGATCGCCTCGGTAAGCTTCTTGGATCTGTTGGGAACTATGGGAAGACACTATTACTGCTTCCGCAAATCATTCTATATAATCCTAACCAGATGTGACCTGATCCGACCCGAACCATTTTGCGTGCGGATCATAATCTTCGATCCGATAATAGTTGACCCGATTTGGCATCGGTCAGAGAGATGCAACCTTAGACGTCCAATGAGAAGGACATCGACGACTCCGCCTTTCAGTTCTCCCCTCCTTTCCTCTCTCCCGAAGCCCCTCCCGTCTCGAGATCTTCTCTTCGTACGCAGAAGCGATGATGCCTTCCTTCTCCTGCCGTTTCCCTGCAACCAGACGACTGCGCCACCTCCGCAGCTTGCCCTTCCTCCTCCTTCTGTTTGCCCTCCTTACGGGATCTGCCCTTGGGCGCGGCCGCCACGTCATCGCCATCCCCGCTGCCGTGCCCTTCCCACGCGGCCTCGCCTGGGACCCCTCCGCGCAGCACTTCCTCGTCGGGTCCCGCCTCTCCCACGCCGCCGTCTACTCCGTCTCCGACGCAGGCGTCGCCGAGGCCCTCGTCTCCGACCTCCTCCTCCCTTCCCCCTCCTCCGTCGCCGCCCTCACCGTTGACGACCGTCGCCGCCGCCTCCTCATCGCCCTCGCCCGCCCCGCCGCCCTTGCCGCCTACGACCTCCGCTCACCGCGTCCGCACCGCCGCATCTTCCTCTCCTCGTTCCCCGACCCCTCTGCAGTCCCCGGCGGTGTCGCCGTCGACCCCAAGACTGGCTCCGCCTTCATCACCGCTGGGAGCGTCGTCCTTAAGGCGGATCTCGATGGGACCGCGTCCGTCCTTTCCAGATCGGCGATCTACGGCGCCGATCCGTCGTCAGAGGGGCTGGGCGCGGTGGCGCACGTGAGCCACGGGTTTCTGCTGGTGGTGGAGAGGGGTGGAACCGGGAGAATGTTCAAGGTCGATGAAGAGGACGGTGCGGCGAAGGAGGTGCTGAGGAAGGGGGTGGGGGCGGCCGCGGAAGGGATCGCGGTGAGGAGCGACGGGGGAGCGGTGCTGGCGCGGGGAGGAGCGGGGACGCGTTGGCTGCGGAGCCGGGACGGGTGGGGAGATGCGGCGGTGCAGGATGAGGCGGCGGTAGAGGAGGGTTGGCAGGCCACAGCCGTGGCCGTGCGCGAGGGGCGGAGGGCGTACGTTCTGGTGACACCTGGAGAAGTGGAAGGCGGAGAAGAGAAGAAGGTGAGGAGGATCGAGGAGGTGGAGTGGGGGAAGGAAGGGGAAGGGGAGATGGTGTGGGGATTTGTGCTGATTGGTCTGGGATTGGCTTATTTCTGCTACTGGAGGTTTCAGATGGGGCAGCTTGTCACCAACCTGAACAAGAAGAGAGCATAGTAACAACAGAGAAACTGCATGAGAAGAGGAAGAACACAAAATGGCCATTTGAGTATAGTAACAACAGAGAAACTGCATGAGAAGAGGAAGAACACAAAATGGCCATTGAGTATAGTAACAACAGAGAAACTGCATGAGAAGAGGAAGAAAACAAAATGGCAATTGAGTTTTTGATGTTTATGAGAATTGTAAGGGTTTTCAGATTCACAATGGATCACTAGTGGTGTTTATCACTATTTATTACTCTTCAGTTGGGATAATTAGGGTTCATCATGTTCTTTTTTTAGATGTATAGAATTTTGATTTCTCATATTGATTATTATTCTGAATTCCTGATGACAATATGCATGTCCTCAAGTTTCCTTTTTATGAACTTTAAATGTTGGTGACATAGTTGCAAGGGAACAACTACAACGAGACAGATTCTGATTCTGGCAACCAAACTGTCACAAAACTGGATCATGCTCATTTTGCTGTTCTACATCCAAAGGCAAAGTTGAATCATAAGGGAAACATGAGAATGCTCATCAACTTGATCACTGGGTTTCAAATCTTGAGTTAAGATTGCTTCTTATCAGGCAGTCATAGTGAGGTGCTTCATTGCCAAGATATATGGCATCAAGGCCAGATTGTTCAGAAAGATAATATCAACTAACAACATGCAATACCATTCATGCTCTTTAAAGACATTTACCTGAGGATAGAGAAGGATAAAAGCACCATACTAGATCTGAAGTACCCAAGTACTTGAGACTGAAAGGTTATACAGAGCATAAAGGCAACAGTAAGTGATGTTGGAAGTCGTTACTTCACAGAGTTGCCTCAACCAAAGGTGCAGTCAGTCTGTCCTCAGGACTTGCTGGTGGGTTTTCCTTGTTCTTAGGGTTAGCGGCGGTCTTGTCCTTTGGAACTCCTGCTTTCTCCCGAAGCTTGTTGAGCTTCTCTCTGATTTTTCTTCGGGTCTCTGGCTTCACGGAACGAGCTTCGGCAGGGTCACTGCGTGCTGATGTTGCCATCAAGGTGGCAAACAAGCAGGACATTGCATCTCTTCTTGATATGCTACCCACCAGCTTCACTTCGTTTACTTTGTTAGTCGCCTGCATGATACAAATTATGGTAACCACAGTCATCGAATGACAAAGAAAGGGAAAGGGAAAAACATGAGATAACATGGTTAAAATGTGGGAATAATTTTGTCATTTACAGAATGAATGCTTCTTACAAAAAGAAGATATAAGATTTAAGAATCACAACATACAAAAAAAAAATCATCTTACAAGGGAAGAGCACAGATAGAAGTGGGAGAAAGATCAAGAAAATTAAATGGCAAATGTTAGGTTTCTTTTCATGGCTGTATGAGTCTGGCAGTAAGAGCAGCAGAGGAGTTATTTTGTCTGACAAACCTCTCTTGTTATCTAACAGAATAGCTAGAATTGCATAACAAAGTATAGCAAGAAACAAATGCAGGATAACATATCAATTCAGCAACCCAATTTGTTTTATAAATGTTGTATTCTCATACAATATGAGGCTAGATTTTGTGAAGAGCAAGAAAAATAATTGCAACTACCACTGAGGACACACCAGTTTGCTTTCATAGTGTTCTAAATTAACTATACAAAGGACGCAAAGCAGATCAGCTACTTCAAGTCACAAAAATAATAGCATACTTCTCTATACAAATATATAAATAAGATAGTTATCAAGATTGTATCATCATAATCTCAATACTCAGCACAATACATATGTTTTATATCAGTTGATAAATATCTTGTAACAAAGCCAATTAGATTTGTTATATGTTATTGAATAATCTCAGAAAGACTGGTGCACAAGAAGGGGAAAACAAAAAGAATTTAGGGTGCATATAAGATGTGTAGTCATCTGAGTTCAGTTTTTCAGGATGCTTTTATTAGTCAACATCCATCCCTTTAATACACTCGAATCAGACACTGCCTCATGCTTACCACTTATCCTCTCATGTGCTCCAATTACACCATAACTATGATATCCAGGCTGGTCTCATGTCCCACCTAATTGTGTTTGTGCATGATACCTTCTTCTGTGCTCCACATTTCCATCTTATTAACATGTGTTTTCAATTCTGACATTCTTGAATGGTACCACAACAGTTCAATTTCTTGGGTTTCTTTCCTGAACACTGATTCAAAATGCAATCACTGTAAAAAGAAAAAAAAATCTAACATCATGAATACTTATATTAACGTTGAACCTAAAATCTCAGCTGTCTTCAACATTCATATCAGGATGCAAGTAGCTCTTTGAAGCTAACATGCCTACCCAATTCTTCCAGTGTTGAAATAAATAAACGTGATTCTCTGAGGACAATGAACAAACAAAGTCGAATCCTGAAAATAGAGTAGCACAGTAAGAAAAATCGAAGAACTATGGAAGGCGGCAACCTCGGATGGTGAACTATAATCTATAAATAAATATTTAAACGATCTGAATTCAACTGAGGATACTGCTTTTTACATGAATCAAAAGTGGTAAAAGATCCATATAGTTGATCCCGAATAGTTAGAACATTCCAGTTCTGAACAAAAGAATAAAAAGCTCTTGTTGGCATGCTAAATATCTTACTTGTGTGCTTCCTTCTCTTTAGATTACATTAGTACTATTTCTTATGATGAAGCTTTCGGATCTACAATTTATGACGCCAGTGGACTTCATGTCAGATATCATGCAACACTTGCTTGTTTGCGTCTCTCATATGCAACCATTGAATTCAGTAGCTGACATTGCTGTTGCAATTACAAAGTATAACACTAATTTTTTCAATCATGGAACATGAGCAAGAAATCGAACAGACACAACATCAAGAGACCTTATATTCCGGAACACCCAAAATTTTCTGCACATAGATGATCCCAGGACTTATTTATTGGGTCAAATTTAACTTCAACGTGTAATGCAGCGAACAGCAGATCGATAAGAAACCCCCAGCGAAATCTTGTCTCAAATTTCTTTTTCCTGATACATGTCATCTTTCCTAGAGGCTAAGAGAAAGAGCAATACCCGGAACTTGTTTTGGGCGATTCCGACGACATCGGAGTCTTTTGCGGCCGGAGGATGAGGCGAGGGAAGCACAGCTCGGAAAGATGAGAACGCCATTCCTTCTGTTGTGATGGCGGTGGTGGTCTTTCGCTGTCCAAGAACGCTCCTTAAGCCATTAGGGCATCAACTCCCATCCTTCCTCCGATCTGGCTTGGTAACCCTATACTTTTGTCTTTTGCTTGGCTTGGGGCCGAGCATGGGAGCTGGCGCGGCGACGGTGTCCACCGTCCATTGGCGGTGAAATGTGTCGACTTGTCTCGACATTAAGATTAAGGGATAATTAAACTTGACCGAGATAGCAGGACTAATTACGTATTATTCTTTGATCTCTTTAATACTTCGGTAAATACACTAAAAAAATTTATATTAAGATTATTATAATTATAAAAATAAAATATTTAATTATATTTATTTTAATATCATCGATTTTATTGATGGAAGATATAATATAAAATAGAATGAAAATAATAAAAAAATAATTTTAATGGTGGTGATGATAGTGCTATGGTTGGCAAGAATAATACAATGGTCAATCTTACTAATGTCAATCGGAACTTCGATGACGAGAAGAAAGAGGAGACAAAGCAATGAGGCATCTATCAGTATTACACCACTCTATCTCCTCTTCCTCCTTCGGTGTCGCTTTGCATATGCGTCTGCTGCACTAATGAAAAATGCTACATATGACATCACATACTGAATTGACACTAAACTGATGGGCAAATCGATAATTGTAACTTCTCTTCTGTTTTTTTTTGTTTTGCTCAAATTAAAACTTTATTAGTTGATTCTAATCTTGATAAAAAAAATTTAATTAGGATTTGAGAGGAGAGCTATGTTTATTAGTATTGTTGAGAAAGATCTTTGTTCATTAGTATTGTTGTCTCGATGCCATCGACTAGTAATCGACATGGCTCGGTGTTGACCTAAAGGCATAGAGTTGTCCAAGTGACCCTTGCGGCGAATAGATGAGGCGGTCGTTATGGGGTACAAGGTGGTGGGTTCCAGTCTTCTCGGAGATCCTACAGAAAAGTCAATGTCGGGGGAAGGGTTAATGTCGGGGGGAGGGGGAGGGGTGAGGGTGATAGAAGATAAGATTTCTCCAACTATATGAGAAAATCTCTTTACTCTGTTGAGGAAAATCCTCTATTCTGTTGAGAAAAATCCTTTCTCCTAATCTGTATAAATAGGAGAGGGATATGTTAATGTATTCAAGCTAAAGCTGAGTTACTTCAGCTTCTTTACTTCTTCAATAAAGTTTCTTCAATAATTATTCTTATCTTCTATTCTTTTCTTTATGGTATCAGAGCCACTTGCCACTTGCCTAGAGCAAGCTCTCTTCTCGCTGTCGACTCATCTGTTGCCACCTCCGACGACAAAAGAAAAAGCTTTCTACTATTGCTTTTCCATCGTCAGGCCATCGGTGCGATAAATCTTTCCTCCTTGACGAACAGCAACTATCTTCTCCACTGCCACTCTGTACCAACGTCCGTTCCCTTTCGCTGTGGCGTCTCTAGTGCTACGCTCACCAGCAGTGCCCTATCTTTCCTCCTTTGCTATAGCCTTCTTCTCTATTGTAGCATCGTTGCAGCTTCCTCCTCTGCTGTACCTCTATTGCAGCTTCCTCCTCTGTTGTACCTCTATTGCAGCTTTCTCTTCTGCTGCACCTCTACTGTAGCTTCCTCCTCTGCTATAGTATCGCTGCAACATCGCTGCAATTTCCTCCTTTACTGCAGCTTATTTCTCTACTACAGCATTGCTATAGCTTTTTTCTATTACTGCAGCCGTCGCCGTCGCAATCGCAGCAACAACAACAGCAACAACAGCAGCAGCATTCTCTTGCCCTACTCACGAAGCCTCTGGCTCGTAAATTATTCTTTGCATCGATCCAAGATTGGTATCCTTACAGGAGCACTTGCGGGGTATGATAGAAGATAAGATTTCCCCAACTATATGAGAAAATCTCTCTACTCTGTTGAGTAAAATCCTCTATTCTGTTGAGGAAAATCCTTTCTCATAATCTGTATAAATAGGAGAGGGATATGTTAATGTATTCAAGCTAAGTTACTTCAATAAAGCTTCTTTACTTCTTCAATAATTATTCTTATCTTCTATTCTTTTCTTTAGGGGGGGTGGGGGGAGAGGATTCTCAATTCCTTCGATGATCAAATTAGTTTTTTGTGAAGTACTAGGAACGAGAGAGTTTAGAGTGAGAAAGCCACCCTAAGAAAATCTCAGGGGGACCATTCATGATTGTCATGATGAAAGATGAGGCGGTGGTACAAGGTGGTGGGTTCCAGTCTTCTCGGAGATCCTACACAAAAGTCAATGTCGGGGGGA